CCCCCAGGATGGATGGAAAATATGAGTGTTTACTGGCTGGAACACTGAGCTACAATGGAAATTTCAACATTCAGAAGATAGGAGAGAGGAAAGGCTTGCTGTGTAGAAAGAAGTCGGCCTTCAACAAAGGGGTCAGAAAGAAAGGAAGGGCCTCTTGTTGGCCAGCTCTGAGGCTGTCCCATCCTCAGCTGAAGAGACAGTCTCTTCTGTAAGCTAGCTCTAGGACCTGGCTGCACAAGGGCAGTGACTGACTAGTTTTATCTTAGCTAGACACTAAACTGAGTGGTTTGGAGACACCCAGACCAAGTTTAGTTTTAATTTTCTTCCTTTCTTTTTCTCCCCCACCCCAAAGGAAAGTCAAGAACCTATACCCACCCTAAACCCATTCTATCAAGAACCTATACCCAAATCAGGCACTATGTTGGCTACTTTCACATATGCAACGGAATTTAATCTTAAATTGGATGAAGCAAATATTATTACATGCAGGTCTTTTTGTTTTGTTTTGTTTTTTGAGTAGGTCATGGGGCTTTGAACTCAGGGCCTGGGCACTGTCTTTGAGCTCTTTTGCTCAAGGCTAGTGTTCTACTACGTTGAGCTACTGTGCTATTTCTGATTTTCTGGTAGGTAACTGGAGAGTCTCATGATCCTTCCTGTCCACGCTGGCTTTGAACAGTAATCCTCAGATCTCAGCCTTCTGAGTACTAGGATTACAGCGGTGAGCCACCAGCGCCTGGCTTACAAGCAGTTTTTAAAAGATGAGGAAATTGTGATTCAGAAAAGTAACTTGCCCCAGGTCACAAACTCAATAGGAAAGTCTAGGTCTGTCTAACCCTCAAGTCCTTTCCCTTTCCACTACATCAAGCCATCTTCCTCACAGGGGTCTCTAGCCCCATTCCTACAAAACTGACATGCTTTTAAAGAGAATTTGAAGGACTAGGTTCAGAACAATTCCTTTACACAGAGGCTGAGGAGAGACAAAATATTTCCAGTCTCGTCACTGAACATTTTTTTGTAGAACTATAGGATTTTCTTTGTTCTATAGTAGATCTCTAGATCATTTTTATCTTGGTGAACTGAAACCTTATATCCATGCAACACAGTCTCCCTTAACCCTCTCCACCCCTTGGCAATCATCTTTCTACTTTCTGTTTCTGATCCTGACTACTGTTTTCCTGTGAATAGACTCCTACACCACTAGTCCTTTTGTAACTAGCTCTTTTCACGTAGTGCATCAGACCCTAGAATCACCCATGGTGTAGTACAGCATGTGAGAAGATTAGCTTCTTACATTTCACAGTCTTCTTGATACTCCTCCTGCTTGCCTATGCCATAATATGTAGGGCTTTGGTTCCTTTTCCATGCCAGATACTAACCTCTTAGTGATCAAACATCAGATCTTAAATGTATGTCAGCTCCCATCCAGCACCCAACTCTGCTGAGAACAGGAAGAATACAGCCTGTGAGATTAGAGCCTATTCTGTTCCTGACTGCTCCCACACCTATTACAATGCCTGACATATAGAAAATGTACTGACACAGTTTTAGAAAACATTAACATTGAGGACCTATTGAAAGTGAAAAGATGATTAGTCGGAGACTTGAATCTGCAGGAACACTTGTAAGAAATAAAGGAAGGGAGAAAAGCACGAGGAAAACAAATTGGAGCCTGATAATTGTGTTCTTAAGTACCATTCTCTTTATGACTATTACTGAAGAGTAAGAAGACAAAGGGACAGGGTGATGTCCAAAAATGGCACAAATTTCCAGGATTTCCCACTTTTTGGTAGAATTCAAAGTTCTGACATACAGATTCACTAGACTGAAGGTTGAGCAGGCCAAGAGACCCATGCCCACAATACTTTGTCCTATCATAAAAGGTGGTGGCGTGTGGTGGTCTTTTGTCAACTCCCCCTTATCTTTAATATCGAGGAACAAATAAATCCAGGATGTGTGCATGAAAAAACAGAGATGGATAAAAATAATTCAATGACAAATGCTGGAAAAACATACAAAGGAGAGGAAGCCAGACATTCGTGGGATTCCCTGACAGCTCGATCCACAAGGAAGGGCTGGACTGGAAAAAAACAGGGCCTCAGGTTCCTGCCAAGCTGTCTGAGGCCCTGTCCTTCCCAAACCATTCTAAGCAGCAGCCAAGACTTTACAGTAACCATTGCAGGTCTTACAAAGAAAAATGTTCTCTCCACCCATTCAGTGCTCCTCACCTAGAAAGTCGCCTCCTTTAAGCCCAGTTCCAGGGAAAGCTGGCAGTAATGAGGAGATGCTTTTGCACATCAACTTTCAGCTCCTAATGACTCCCTACATACCCAGAAAAGGGATGATTAAAAGGCGACTTGAAAAATTTAGCCTTTTTCATTGGCTAAAATGAAGTTGACATGGCCAGGTACCTACATCTAGAGATCCTAAACATGGTGTGAAGAAAAAGGAGATCATAAACATGTTGTTCTTGTATTCTAGAATCCCTGCTGTGTAATACTAAGCCAGCCTTGCTTGGAGGCACACCTCAGGCTTCTACACATGTGACTGCATTTGGCCCTCACTACTCTCTCTTCTGGAGAATGGCCTGCAATTAATCTCACTTATTACCTCTGAAAAGTAACAACAGAGGAATGGCTGGCCAAGTCCAACTCTAGAGGGTCTAGGGAACTGCAAGCTGCATGGCCAGGCCTCAGATTGTCTGGGCAAGTCATGGGCTCTTTGCCTTCTCTCCCACAACAAAGCCTGAGCAGGGTCTCCAGACAGACCAAAGGAACCAAGGGATTTGAGGAGCTGGGCTGAGCTCACATTGACCCAATGGGAGACTACAGCCCTGAGGCGAACATTTGGAATGGTTTCCAACAGCGGGGGAAGAGAAAGGTTGTCTGGTAAAAACTTGTGTGATCCATAAAATTGAGAACAATAGCAGCACCACGGGGGAATGAAAAATAACACTATTTGCAGAGTTCTTGTGAGTCACCAGTTTTCATTCCTGTGGCTACCAAGTCACTGAATTCTCTGACACACAGATGAAAAGTACAGCCAGCAATGGGAGTCTGTACATCTTATAGTTTCCAGGGCAGCCTCTAGTTTAGTGAATTAGTAGAATTTATCAGTGCTAAAATCCACTGGCTGCTATTGTAGAAAAACTACTAAGAGTACCTTTGTTTACTCAGCCCCCACTTCCAGGGAGATCAAAGTCCTTCAAAGGCAATCTAAACGCTCTCACAACAGGACAGTTTATATGTATGCTTACCTAAAAAATATTAAATGTATAGCTAGAGTCATTTAGTGTCCAAACCACTAATAAAACTCATATCTTAGGGGAAACTGGGGTAAAGAAAGAAGAGACATTGTTCAAGACTTATGAAAATGGCAGCCTCTTTGTACAATACTTAATACAAATTAAATTATATTTAAAAAGCAACAAAACAAACCATAATTGCCTATTTATTGATTTAACAGTATTAAGGTGTGAGTGAAATTATTTTTTAAAAAACCTCACATCTCTAAGTGATGAATCCCATATTCATTAAACTTAGCCACCCTTACTATATAGGAGGACCAAGAAGAAAGAAAATAAATATCCAAAAAACAGTGATTTACCAGGTAAAAGTTGAAATCAGGACTCAGTACTGTGCCTTTAGCTATGGCCCCAACACAGCCAGGCCTGGAAGGACCTGAGAATCCACTTAGGGCTGTTCCAGTGTGGTGGCACCAGGAATTTCATGTGGAAATAAAACTCCTAAGCTGACCCTCCAGTTGTCCTAGCAATCAGAGGTTACCAGGAGGACCACTACAGACTTCCTAAGGCTTCCTTGAACTAGAATGGAATCTAACAACTGGGCCTTACTTAAAGAAGAGATAAAGGAGGAGGCTGCTGAGTATAGCTCAGTCAAGAAAATGACTAAAAGACTTCACAGGGGCTATGTTTGGCTACGATGGCTCTGAAGAAAATGGTAAGAATGCTATTCCAATTCCACAGTCTGCCTAAGGGAAAGTAATTCACACAACTCCAGGTTCCAGCTCTGCCCCTGAAAAGCTCCATCATCCCCCATGATAGTACTCACAGGTAATACCAAAAGAAAGATTGACACTCAGCTATAATTTTTTTAAATTAAAGATTCCCCCCCATTCCATGTGTAAGTATAAAATGATAAAACTACTCCAAAATGTGTACTTCTGACATTTTAACAGTACAGAAAATGCCTGTAACTTTGTCAAACAAAATATCCAAATTTGTGGTGCAAACGTTCTTTGTAAGAAAAAGACTCTGATTTTAACATGAAAATGGAATTTTTGGAAACATTTACATGGAAAATAAGGCTCTATAGTATAAACAGAATTTCTTTTTTACGAGTTATGTTTCAGGAATGTGGTTACTCGGTAGATTATAAATCACTGAACAACAAACTTTTCCTGTGAGGAGAACTGTGTGTGGGGTGCCCTGTCTCAAAAAGTCCTGCTTATGTCTCCAACTCCTCACAGTTCTCAGCTGAGATGATTTCTTTTCATCCCAACCACATGATCATGGGTATGGAAGACATCAGACCAGAGCATGATGTAATATGTTTATGCTATGTTACTTCCTGGGAAGTTTCTGGTTCCTAAATTAGCTCCAGAGTAATAATAATAATAACCAACAGATATTTCAACAACAATTAGGTACTCCCTTCCAGCTCAGAGCAAACAAATACAGAAGAGGCAGAAGCTGGAAGTATAGTACAGAGTGGGGATTCACTGGGACAGTACTTCTTTATTTGGAAGTAAAGGATTTCAGTGGTCAGAAGACCTCACTGTAAGAGTCACATTTTTTCAATAGCTCCTGTGACTCAGGGACTGATGCCATTGTACTAGTCACTAAAGCAAGGTGTCTTGGGAACCCCTTCCAGGCAAGCTGTCTGGCTTGGATCTCCATGTCAAATGCAAGGTGGGAATGGTTTGGTTGGGGTGAAAGTCATCCCTCTGCAACCAAAGTGTTGGCGCCAAGGCCCTTCACGTACCTGCTTCCAATGGGGCTTGAAGGGTTCTCAAGAGCAAGAGGGTCTGTCTGCATCGACCACGTTGGCCCACTAGGACTGATGAGAGGTCGGAGGGTGGGGGGAGTTGAAGCACTGCTTCTATTTAAGACGGCACTTGCCAAATTCAGGTTTGCTACCTAGAAATAAAGTGAGAGAAATAACCTGATTTGAAAGAGTTTTAGAAAAGTTGTCATGAAAAACATATGGGAACAATCAAGTAAAATCCAAAAGATGCTGAATCATCTGAGCTGAAGGAGCAGTTGGAACCAACATGCACAGGGAAGGTTGGTTTGCACAAAAGCAGCAGTGAGCATGGGTAGCAATAAAGTTAACACTCATACTATTCTGCTCCTACTCGGCAACCCACAGAGGCTGTGCTAGGTGTGACTGAAAACAAAGATGGACAACAAAAACAACCAGGAAAACATCATTTACTCTGTGCCAGGTAATGTTTAAAGGATTTCGGCACACTTCATTGCCCTCGTTACACTTGCTTCCTCATCTAGAAGGTTTAATGAGAATTTAAACCTTTAAATTTTAAATTTAAAAGGTTTAAATTCTCATTAAACCTTCATTACAAATAACAAAAATTATACAAAGAATTCAGTGAATTAGGTAGAAAAAAGGAGAGTCAACATAAAATGGGTATTGACTTCAAAAATAATTTACACAGAAGAAATATGATTAATCTAATTAAACATTTCACACTAGTTATTTCCATTATTAAGTGTAAATTACAAAAAATAAATGCAAACTACCAGGAAGAAGAAGCTGTAGAAAACAATTTTCTTGTTACATCGCCAAACAGTAATAAGAAAGATAGCATACAATAGTATTTATAACTACTTGTGGATCTATAAATTGAGTCTTTCTAGAAGTCAAGAAAGATATGGCAGTATGTTGCTATTAAAGTATTATAATAACTCAAATGTTTTGATGCTATGGTCTGGCTTTTAGGAAGTTAGGTATGAAAGCTGCATGTGTTTAATGATAGTGACAATGACAATAACAATATGTGTTAGAATTTATCACATGCCAAGTTCTGTGTGGACACAGTACTTTATACACATCTCATGTAAATGAACTTAAGTTTGATAGTAAGTAAAGTCACAATCCTCACTTTACAAAGAAAGAAACTGAGGTCAGGATTGCTTCAAGGTCCTGGGATACTGACCCAGTTAGGATTTGAGCTACCCTCTTTAGCTTTCAAAGCCTATATCCTTACATCACTCTATCATGATCAGACACTAACAAGCATTGTTTTCAATACTGAAAAAGAAGGTCTAACTAGCTAACAGTATTGTTTTAAATTTTCTTCTAAGAGAATACTATTTATCCACAAACATTTTTTGAAAAATTCTTAATGATATTAGTACATTCTGATAACTTAAGAAAAAAATCATGCTGGTAAAAAATCATACTGTGAAGGTAACTGTGAAGGTGAGTATATCTTAGAAGACTAGAAAAGCGTTGTAAAAAATAAATAACATCTATTGGTAAGCAGTGAGTTGTTTTCTTCCTCATACTTAACCTACAATCTCCATATTTTTTTTAATTTTATTTTATTTGTGAATATACTGTACAGAGGGGTTACAATTACATGGGCAGGATAATGCGTACATTTCTTATCAAGCATTGCAGCCTCCTCCTTTGTTTACCCTTCACCTCCCCCTTCCCAGCCTCCCCCCTCCCCCCAATCTCCATATTTTTATACTGAGTATATATTATTTTTACAATCCAAAAAATTTTTTAAGTTGTTAAGACAAATGTAGCTGTGAGGTGGAAAGTGTAAATCATGGGCAGCAGTAGTGGGTTAGAGAAGAAAGGATGGTTGGGAGAAGCATTTCTAAATATTCCATGGGAAATGCTGAAAAGAAGGAAGAGTCAAGGCTTAGCAAAGGTGGAACATGAGCCACCAGCAGCAATTTAAGTCATCAAACAGGAGATGGAAACTCCAAGAAATGATTTCCTATAAAATGGCTTAGCTATCTATAATTTGACATTTACAAATGAAATAATTTTAGATTTGTTTTAGATTTTAGGTTTTGGATTTTTTAGATTTTAAAACAACCTGCACATCCTGAAAAAAAAAAAATAGTGCACTTTTAGCAATAGTAGAATGTTTCCTTCTTAGTTGTATTAGTCCATAGTGAAAATGGCCCACGCCTGCATCTTCACAGCAAAATACTTTTCTTGGAAGGAAAGCTGTTTTCCATAGGTCAGGGGTAGTCTCTGGCTGCTGTGGAGGCTAGGATGGGGACACTCTGGCTGTGCCCTGCCCTGCAGGGTAGACTCAGGCTTTAGTAGAAATCAAGCACAGATTCTTACTTCTGCTCCACTTTCTGCAATAGCAGAGTTGAAGGAGGCAAGTGCTGACAGGGAAGACCAGTTGAAAATTCAGTAACACCTTTCCTCCAGACTCTAGTTTCCTTGCAATGTTTTTTGCCTTTCCTATACTCTAGAAGAAACATGTCAGGCACTGAGATGACACAGGCTCCCAGAGCACTGCATACTTTCCTACTCCACTCTAATGCTCTCTTACCTGTCCTCCTCTCTCTCCTGACTTAAGATATCAGGCCTTTTAAATTAGATGTGATATTGCAACTTGTAAAAAACTAACAAGATAGTTAGGTCATTATAATAACCATTTTGCATAAGACTTAATAAAGGAGGCTTAATAATGATTAATATCAGAATAGCAATAGAAAAAAAGTGATGTTTAATATAAAGGGCATAATTTCAAAATCAGCATGTGAAAAGAAGAGAGAATAAATAGACATGGTAATCTCCTACATTTTGGCAGGGCTAGCTCTAATATAAACATCTGTATTTACATCCTAACATTTAATAAGTATCCAACACTCACTATGTGCCATGTTCTAGGTATCCTTGAATATCTTGATTTACATTACCTAATTTAAGACTGAGAGATAAGTTCTGTTGTTACTCATCTACCAAAGAGGAAACTGAAGGCTGGAGAAGCTAAACAACTAGGTAGAAGTCACACACTTACTCAATGGCAAGGTCAAGACTAGAATAGAGTGTTAAACTCCAATTACATGTATTATACCTTTTCCAAAAAATGTGGGTTAGCAGTTGGACCCTTAACAGTAGTGGTATCTGGCACTCTGGGTTTTATATTTCACGTACTCTTTGCCTATTACTCATGGAAGGAGACATTTAACACCTCATCTTGCGGATGAGAAGTTATTACTCAAAATAATTTACTTGAGGCCGTATAACAGTTGTACAATTTGTGCTCTTGTAAAATCCAATTAAAAACCTTACTATTAAGGTTTCTTTCTTGAAAATGTCATCAGATACAGAGCTCAAATTCTGAAAACAATATTAGCCTTTCTCTTTCTCTCCCTCTCTTTCTTTTTTTCTTTTTGCCAAGCCTAGGGCTTGAACTCTGGGCCTATGCACTGTCCCTGAACTCCTTTTGCTCAAAGTTAGTGGTCTACCACTTGAGCCACAGTGCCACTTCTGTTTTTTGAGGTTGTGTGTGTGTGTGTATGTGATTAATTGGCGATAAGTGTCTCACAGACTTTTCTACCTAGCCTGGCTTTGAACCGTGATCCTCAGATCTCAGTTTCCAGAGTAGCTAGGATTATAGGCATGAGCCACCAGCACCTAGCTTCTTTCCCTTATATTTTATTTCCTATTTTTTTTTAATCCATCCTGAGAGGACATTATAGAAGTAAAACAAAAAAAGTACTCTCAGTTCTGTTGCAGAGAAGTAGAGTGGAAAGTGGCATGAATGTGTAGTTAAGTTTGGACTACTAGTAGGTTGTGTGTAACATTCAGTCTCATTCAATGGGTAAACTAGTAACTGGCAGTCATTGTAACTTCTTTCTGTACAAAAACAAGGCATTCTAGATGATTTATTCTGAGATATAGGAAAAGTGACTACTTAAATGAGAGGCTATATAAGGAATGAAAACCTTACAGACTTCTCATCTTTCTCTCCAAAGAATTTCCTGCTGAATTATTTACCATAGCTAAGATATGGAACCAACCCAGATGCCCCTCAGTAGATGAATGGATCAAGAAAATGTGGTATATATACACAATGGAATTCTATGCCTCCATCAGAAAGAATGACATTTCCCCATTTGTTAGGAAATGGAAAGGCTTGGAAAAAATTATATTAAGTGAAGTAAGCCAGGCCCAAAGAAACATAGGTCCCATGGTTTCCCTTATTTGCAATATCTAGTATAGGTATGAGTCAAGCGGAAAAAGTCAGATAATGTGATGTTAGGAAAACAAACCCTCAAATATGTATTTTAATGTTTTTGTTTCTTTCATGCATGTGTTTCTAACGCATTTATAAGATTATTTCTTTGTTGCTTTGTATGTCCCTCCCCCACAGTGTAACCCCCGCTTTCACTATATTTGATGTCAGTATAACATGTGGAGGAGATGGGGACAAACAAGTCGTTTAAGGATACAGGTGGACCTGTTGCAACAATGAGAAGTACAAAATGTCAGGTCAAAACCAGCTTTACAATGTCGGTGTGGGGGGGAGGGGGGAGGCTGGGAAGGGAGGTGAAGGGTAAACAAAGGAGGAGGCTGCAATGCTTGGTAAGAAATGTATGCATTATCCTGCCCATGTAATTGTAACCCCTCTGTACAGTATGTTCTCAAATAAAATAAAATAAAATTAAAAAAAAAAAAGAATTTCCTGCTGAAAACAACTGTAATAACTTGTTGCTCTGTTTCCCCATAGAGCACCACCCCTGTGGTTTATCTAGAAAAGTCAGCAGGTTTCTCAGACCTGCAATGCTAACTGAACCGTCTGGGGCTAGCCAGAATGTGAACTCAGTATCTTCTATATACAGTTTTCCAAGCAGCCAGTGCTAATCAATCAGAACAGCAAGGGAAGTGAACGGATTTTCTATCGCTGCTCTATCTAACAGAATGTTTGCTGGTGATGAGCATATTCTATATTTTGTACTATCCAAAATAGTAGCCACTAGCCACATGTGGCTATTGTATATTGAACTGTGGTTGGTGTGGCTGAAAAACTGGATTTTAAACTTGAATTTAAAATATCATACATATCTAGTAGCTACTTTAGTAGACAACATATCTCTAGAGCCTTTAGATTTGTACTGGATAAAGTTTACTCCACACA